TAGCAAGTCACTAGCGAGCTTTAGATTAATTTTCAAGAGTTGGTTTGTAAGGATTAGATTTTTTTTCACGAGTTTGACCACGGATTCAAATCAGTCACATATCACAAGTGATTCACAACAGAAAACTCATCAAAACTTCTAAAGTGAAGACTGCCTATAATCATCAATGATATCGCTGACTATGGTAGACTGGACCATGCAACCGACCATGAGGAGCGAGAGGACAAGGATAGGTTAGACCGATAAGAAGATTCTAGAAGATATGGATTTCGCGGACGATATATGTCTAACGTTATGCGAAATTGAAGACTAACGGGCGAAAACCAACAAGTTGGCAGAAGAAGCAGTAAAGACAGGAGTTCAAGTGAGCATGGAGAAGACGGAGGTGATGAAGATACCTAACCACCACCACCAACAACAACAACCAGTCACCTTAAACCGGTGATATCTAAAGGAGGTTACCTCTTTCACTTATCTAGGAAGCATCATCTCAACTACAGGCGGTGTGAATGATGAGCGTATCAAAAGCAACCAGGATCAGAAAGGCAAAAAAGATCCTTCTTACTCTGAAATCACTATGAAAATCTGCTGCACTCTCAGCATTTAGAACAAGATCCAGGTTTTCAACTCAAATGTCAAGTCAGTTCTTCTATATGGTTCAGAGACGTGCCACACGTCACAGACTTCAGACTTTTATCGACAACTGTCTTCGCTACATACTGAAAATCAGATACCTGACCAGAAAGGATAAGCAACAAAGAACTCGATCAGGCAACGAACCAACCCAGAACCTACTGCTCAACGAATACGTGGAAGCCAAATGGGAAACGACGAGTGGGGCGTCCGAAGGTGACAAGAGGGAGGTCAGAGGCCATGGGCAATAGTAAGGCCATCTTAAGGGGGATGCAACGAGCAGGACAAAATGGAGATGTGCTGTTGAAGCACTATATTCCACTCGGAAACGAAGGGATTAATGAGAACATTAATAGGCTTTAAATCATGTTCTTGGGGAGGGGGTAATGACATGGCCACTGAAAGTGGAAGATACGAAAAGGCTAGCTGTCTTTGATCATAAGTGTCTGCGTTGCATCCCCCGTGTCAAGTAGTATAGTAAGGTGAGGTTAGGCTTCAGTTGAGTGCTAGGTAAGGAGGGGAAATCAATCGACGAGGTTGTGAAGTTAAATGGATTGAGAGAGGTGGTTAAGACATGCGTTACGCATCCATGCCTAGCCATTGGTTGCCTTCGTTGACCAACAGGGAAATGTCAGCTAACATAGCATGGATCAGGTTGGAATAAAAAGAAAACTACTGGTGGTCAAACCAAAATATGGCTTCATTAGTCAATGAAATCCATGATATTTAGTTTAAACCAGACACGTAGGGAGGTGTAGACTTCCTGATTAAGGTCCTCGGGATTGTAAAAATCAATGAAAGCTGGAGTCAATTGGTGATATGTCTCAAAATCGTTCTCAATGATTCAGATGCATCCACTCTGTGACTTATCATAACCAATAAAATTCGATTGCTTTTCCATATTACTATTCTGTTTGCTTCACATTTCTGTTTATTATCTCTCTTCTCTTGCTTTATGGAGGGAGAGTGGCAACTCGAACTGCTGCACCCCTGTGCAAAGATCGACGTTGAAAACATTCAGTCAGTCAGGGGGAAGTAATGACAGACAACAAAATGAATAAATCAAGAAATAATCACTGTCACAGTAGTGAAGAGTTGAATTGGTAAAAACACAAAAGCCACAATCATCATTTCAACTAACTTTTGCAGGTGTTGATTGACCAGAATCATTTTGTTGTTGTGGTAGTTTTCTTTTCTTTGCATGAGACAAATTTTTCTCCGGTGTCGTCTCGACAATCTACAAGAAAGAAAAAAATTGACGGTTTCTGATTATTAAGTGATTTCAGAATAATAAAATAAGAAAGGCGAATTAGCAACCTGATAACTGTAAATAGTAGTAGTAATAATATCACCCTGTCTATACTTCTGCGGAGATTTTATTCCCCTTTAATCAATAAAATACCATGAAGATGTAGTTCGTTCCGTGATTAAAGCGTTCAACTTTCAGTCACTACGTCACAGATTCGAATCCCGCGTCGTTTACTTCAGCCTTAGCAATTGGGAAGAATTATTAACCCTCATAGGGTCAATAGATAGCTATTCATTTTCAAGTTTTGATTTTCAGAAATTTCTTAATTTGAAGTTGGTTTATGAATTGAAAAAAAGTTAGATTTCAGCGGAGATTTGAACTCCAACCTAGTGAATGAATAGTCAACGAGGTTTTCAGTTCATTCCCTTGTAGGGTCATGGGTGTGCATTGCCTAAGAGTCATTGCAGGCTAAGATGAATGAGCTGTCTAGTTCCCCTACCCCTGAGGATATTTTTTTAATGGTTCTCTAACTGATGTCAGCTTGTGATGTAACTCAAAGACCGATTAGTTTAATTCTTTTAACTTTATGTGTAGAACGTAAACCAATAAACTCCCTTGCATATGAAACTGTATTTGATACAGACTTGATATTGAGGGCATCCAGTGGGCTGTTAAAACTTTTAGAAATACTTTGGTGCAAACTGAATTCTGTCAATCATGCTAGTTGGCTGACTATCACAGTGCACTCTGAATAGCTGTTATTAGATGGTTGGAGGTGATGGGCAGGAAGCCCTGTAGCGAGGTTTCGTACTAACTGGCACTTTTCAGAGAAGTATACTCACAATCTTGAAAGAACTGTTGTCTGCCCTCAAAGTTCGAAATTGTGTCCCCCAGTGCCTAAAAGGTTTAATTTCAATTCACATAGCACTGGGGTGACGAGTTTCTTAGCATGACGACAACGTCACAAACTTAAATGCTAGAAGTCAGTCAGCATTACGACCAGATAATATGAGAATGATTACTTCACAACGATCAATCAAAGTGCATACTGCCTATCGCATGAGATGATAGAAATCTGACTATATAGTAGGAAATGCTATGAAATCGATACAGAATGGTTTTTGATGTTTCAGTAGCGGTGGTGTTGTTTCTCAACGACAGGAGGCTTCCGACCTCGCGCGCAACCCTTTCGCTTTACAGAGCTTTCTACCACCTCGGAAACTCGATGAGTTTTAAGAGCGCGTCAGCCAGGAATCGAAACCGGACCAAATACGCGATTGACGAACCTTCTACCACAGAACCACCGATACAAAAAGCGTTTTAACTTCTAAACATTATCAAGGCAGGGCTCATGCATACAGCATACAAACGTCTTCGAGTTCTGCACACAACCCCATTTTCTCGCGTACCATCCCCTCCCATCAACCGTGGCATATCTGGTAATAAGAAATCACGAAAACACCATCAGAGCCTATGACAAACTAGGTAGTGGAGTAACGGTAGAAGATAACAGAATTGGTAAAGCAGTGTTTATTTGGAATTTGATATCGCTATATAGCGAAATTATGTACGCCTTATCTTCAGCGCACCATTTGCTCAGATCTTCCGTGTTGTGCTAACTTCTGTCCTTCTTTCGTATTACGTTTCTTTGTGTTCTCTTCACGTTTCCCATGTATCTCCGCAACGCTGTACCATTTGCTTTCTCTGACATCAAATCCACCTCCCTGCGGTTTGATGTTTTAAAGTCGACGACCGTCTGTTTATGTACTACTGACAAATCTTATTAGTAGCATACACCAAAGTGGGATTGGATTTCTATCGATGAGATTAGATAAGTCGAGCTACACATAACAAACCGACTTAGTTTACTCTAAAATGACTTACTGTGTGATATTATATTCACCACTTGACTTAAGTCTCGTTAAGTGAGTGGTGAGATACGTTTTTCTTGGACAGAAAAAAAGTCATTCACTTATTTATCTATGCATATTAGTGTTTATCATCCTTATTATATGCCACAATGACTGATTCGTCTAGGCGCTCGGCTTACAACCAGTAGTGGGTCACAGGTTAAAACCCACTCCAGGCAATATAATAAGCCTTCAGAGACTATTGATGCAGCTCATTGCCGACAGTATGGATATGCATGATTGATCTTTCACGTGAGAAAAGACACATTAGACACTTTGATTGGATACTAGTCAGTAATCAGTCCTACATGAGATCAATCAAGAGTCGGAACAGCTCAGAAGTAACGTGTCTGACTGCAGTACCCCAGTAATCTAGGTTCGAATCCCAGAAAGGGCATGAGTTCCTCTTCAAGACTGCAGACACATCTAGCTGACAAATGCCAACAAACACGAAAACTAGGTCGAAGGGGCTTCCTGCCGCGATTGCCTCCAACCATCTAGTAACATAACAGACAATTATTACAAGGGTAGAATTTGGGCAATGTGGTAGAGTATTATTCCGTAATAGAATAATTTTATTTGAAGATATGGCAAACACAATGATATACAAGTACTGGTTCTAAATACCAAGCTGTAAACGTCTTTCTAGACAGCAATCATGATTTCAGTGAACGTCCCCTCATGACAACGACCCCAAAAATGTGATTGTCCGTATTCATAGATTTTCACATCCTCTTGTTCACTTTTATTTTGGCACTGCTTCTTATAATGTTAACCATGTGATAGTTGGCCTTTTGCATACATCATTCCTTTTTTAATTGCTTGATAAACCTGATCAATTGGGCAGCTGAAGATGTTGTTTAGAGACCAAAACTATCTAGCCAAACTAAGAACACTCACTTGAGCATAAAAATCCTCTCCTCCTTCCATCATTTTTATTAGTCACTTATTCATTAATGACAATACAAGCCAATTCCCGGCCTACAGATGAACTTCTAAATTCGATCAGCCAGGTGGAGAGGGAAGGCTGAGGTCTGAGGTTAGTAAACCCCCCACCCCGAAAAGAAACAACACCACTACTGAAAAGTCAAAGCTCAGCCTTAAAGCTCCATCTTCCACTCCCAACGCAAATCAGTAAATAAAAAAAGAATAGAAATTACGAGTATGTAAATGATTTCTTATTGAGTAAAAACAAAAAAACGATTCACCTCCATATTTGACTTTTTCGACTGAACATCCTTCATTGAATCTTTGAGTAGTGCTCGACGTGAATTGATTTTCACAGTCATATCTTTATACTGTTTAACAGGTAATCCAATTTCACCGACTGCACGTAATACAATTTGAAATAACAATTCTGAATGGTCTATATTCACTGAATTGATTGCCATACCGCATACACGAACTAGGTGTTTTGCATCACCCCAATTTCTAAAAATTATTACATTTTTCACAGAAACAACGGGGTTAAATATCAAGAAAAAAGAAAATATTTATACTTCAGTTTGGCAGGGAAGTGATCATTACAGAACAGTAAACTGAGGTGGTCTAATTGTGAGGCTTTTTACTCCGACCCTCCCCCACAAACACACACCACCTCTTCTGGACAACGTCTTCACTGCTTACTTCAAGGTGAAAAAGTTACACGTCTTACAAGTACTGCACCTTCAATATCTTTCATTTTGAAGTTAGCACTGAAGATGTTGTCTAGAGAGATAATGGAAGCTTCGCAATTCAACCACCTGCCTCAGAGAACACAACCACGTACATCACACAGTAGAAACAACACTTTAGGATTAAAACATCACAGTCCATTGGTTCATCTGGCCATACTTGATTAAACACTATGGAAAAAAGTGGACGCAAATTTATTGAAATTAAAGTGAAAAAATATTTGTGCAAAATTATAGAAAATATTTGGAATTTCATAGATGATGAAGGGTGAATATATCGTCACTGAAGACAATTTCGAACCATATTACTTACTAACTGTCTACAATGTGTAATTAAGAGCACTCTGTGAGCAGATGGGTACCCCTCGCGTCAACCAGGAGTGTTCCCTAGATAGCTAGATCAAAGTGGTCTAAACATTGGACGATCGTTTTACTCGTTTGAGACCAAGGTCATCAGTGGCACACGTAATTCAACTCAGCTCAGAGAGTCGAATTGGATCAAACTACCCATATTACGGCCAGTTATTTACTTACATGAACTAGTAATAAATAGAATCAAATTGATAATTTGCGAATTACACATTTCGAGGTGAGAATCCACTACGGTTACACCTGTGAAAAACTAAAAATATTCAGATTACAATGTATGATCTCGATACCATAAAATGGCAACCCAGAAAGCAAGGGAAATAGTGTGGTATATACCAGTAATTGATGGATAAAAGTATTCGAAAATCATCATTATTACTCCCTCCTATTTAGCTGGCTCCACAATCGCCCACAAGATCTCCTCCTTGTTACGATTGGACGCTCAACTCGTCGCTTCTCAGTCGGGTTTCACTCTAGAGATTAACTGGCGTATGACATCACTGAAATGTCTCCTCGGCACGTATCTGATCTGATCTGTATAGTTTTTGTTGAGCAATAGGTTCTTGGTTCCTTTGTCACACTGCAAGAAAACCTTGTTGGTAATTCTTGTCGGCCAACTCGCAATTAATTCTCCCCCTTGCCTAATCCTACATTTACTGACAATCCTTGTCGAAGAAGATAATGACGCATATTATAATCATGTTATAGTTAGTGGAAATTTATGACTTCATCAAACCAGTAACCCTAAACAATCTATCAAAAGAGCTTCTGATCACAGTACTTAACTCTGTAGTTTCAGTTTAATGCTTCATAATGAGCAAAGCTTTCACTATCTTACACGCTGAAATTACCTGTCTCTGTCTGGATTCAACATAGAACTTGGAACCGAAGTGCAGCAGTTCGAGTTGCCACGTTCCAAAGAGCACACAAGGGTAGACAAGAAAATGAGTGAAGAGAATCAATAGAGTTTTGACATGTATAAGAGTGAAACAGAATGAGTAATGGTAGAAAGGAATATGAAAGATTACAGAGACTGAATACATCTGCGTAAGCCATTGACAACGATTTTGAGCCATGTCACCTATTGTCTCCAGCCATTGATTCTTACAGTCCCGAGGGCCCCAACCCGGAAGTCTGCATCTCCCTCTCTACCTGACTCAGTTTAACTGTCAAGGATTTCATGGATTGATGCCATGTTTTTGTTTGGCCACCACTTACTCTTTTCCAACCTGCACCTATATCAGCTAGTAATGCCCGCCCGTCGGGGGAGGCGATGGTTAGGCATGTGCAGCACGTGACCTAGCCATCTCAATCTATGTAACTTTATAGCCTCGTCGATTGATATTCCCTCTTTGCCCAACACTCTACGCCTAACGAGTGTTGGGTGAAGTTACCGCTGAGGATGGTGAGGCTAGAAAGACAATGAAAGCTTTACAACTAAACCAATCAATCATCTCAGAGGACGCGAAACCACACGCACACACACACACACGCATAGAAGCCATCTCTACTTGGACTGTAAATCTTCAAAACAATGTATGAAATCATTTTTTTAAAAATAAAGAGAGAAAACATTTAAAAGCAAAGTTTCTTCACACTTACTGTTCAAATTGAATATAAGCTATCCAGAATTCTGCTCTTGTTCCATGACCTGGCAATTTCATTAAGCTTGTCCAAAGAGAACGAGCTCGTTCCATATCCTCAGCATGTTTTGCCTACGACGAGAGATAAAAGGAAGGCTGTAACATGGGAGTAAGCTTTTAAACTATTATTATTATTTTATTGTTGTTATTCTCCTTTCAATTGAAACTACCTTTTGTCACTACTATTATCTTAACTTGTTCCATTATTATTATTATCATTATTCATTTTACAATTCCTTGATTAATTAGATTGTACCGAGATGTACGGTCTGTGTTGATAAAACGGCTTCAACGATGTGTCTGAGGAACTGACATATTGGTATTTGGTGGACGAGACGAGGCAAGGCGTTTAAAGTGAATACAAGAGTAAGACAAGGCTGGCTACCTATTATTACTGCTGATACTCTTGATTGCGGTGGACTGGATTATACGTCAGAGTGTGCGTTAGGAGAGAGAAAACAGGAATCCACTGAACCAATAAGAGGACCCTAGAAGATCCGGACTTTGCAGATGATTTATGTCTAATGTCACACACACACTCGAAGACCTGTAGGCGAAAACCGACATACTGGCAGAAAAGGCTCGCAGCGGACACAGGACTCCAGGTGAACATACAGAAGGCAGAGGTGGTGAAGATAACCAACCAATCACTATCAATGAAATAAGTTTAGAAGGGGTCACTTCCTTCACTTATCTGGCTAGGAAGCGTCGTTTCAACTACGGCCGACACTATGAATGAGCAAGTTAAAACCAGTCAGAATTGGAAATGCATCAGTCCGAAATCAATTTGGAAATCCTCTGCACTCAGCTAGAATAAACGAAATTCAGAGTTTCAACTCCAATGTTAAGTCCGTCAGTTCTTCTACATGGGGCAGAAACTTGGCATGTGCGTCACAAAAAACATTTCCAACAGGCTACTGCAAACTTTTATCAACAGATGCTTTCACTGGTTCCATACTGAAGATCGGATAGCCGGTCAGAAGGAATTAGTATGTAGAAACTCTGGGAACGAATCAACCAAGAATCTATCGCTCAACAAATATTCCGAAGAAAGGGTGAAGCATTAGATACACACAGAGGATACCGTCGAGTGACATAGCCCACCAAACCATCGGTCAAGTGGAACTTGAGTGGAGCATCCAAGGGTGACATAGAGGAGGTCGTGCGAGGAGGAGATGAGATATTATGGGCAATCACGGGACCAGCTAATGTGGATTACAGAAAATAGAACAAAGTGGAGAAGTGTTTTCGAGGCCTTATGTTCCACTCGGAACCCAAGGGAAAAATAATAATAAAAGTAGTATTTGGTGGACAGTGAGCATCAGTAGAATCTAGGATGCGCACATTTCTTCCCTCTGGGACTCGTCTGCTGGATACACCTGCAATCTCTGGCGAATGATGATGTTTTTACTGAGCTTAGAACCCAGCAACCATCGTTTCAAATACCGAAGTGTCATCCAATAGGCCACTTAGGCCACAAGAGCCACCTTCTGTGTGCAATGGGTATCAACTGTTATTTGTTTAAGTTAATTTTGAATTTCCGGTTGGTTGATTATACTGAGTAGAAATGTTAGATTAACCCCCAGTATGGACACTTCTCATACCCCTTAACCTCTACCCATATATCTAAACGTCACCTTTCACTTTGTAAAACTGATTCTTTGTAGTTATTAGTCAAATATCTCGATATGCATCTCTCATAGTATACATATAAGACTGTAAGAAGTGAGTATTTATTTGAAGATTTATACTGAGATTTGAGGAGTTCATTATATCTTCTGCTTTATTACTACTAATACTTTATTGTTGGATTTAAAATTCACATCGGGAAATAAATAGGTCCCAAGACAAACTGGTCTCTGTATGCATTAAGACATAAACTTGGTGTATTATAGGTGTCAAGAGATGCATTTGAGAGGTTGGGCACTGCCGGGATGCCCAGACCGAAGCAGGTGGTCTTCGTCTTAAGAGGCCATTCCCTTAACCCTTGCCTTGAAGTCTGACCTACAAAGTAGTGGAATAGGAACTGCTTCCCATGTTTTCCGAGGAACCAAAACAGGTTTATCAGCAGTTCAATACTTTTAGATCAAATCGGGGTTTTCCAGTTCCTCTAGGTACACCTGCATGTCATCCAACAGTCCGGTTGTAAGCGCCAGACGTTCGTATTGCCCCTTCCCCTTTTATGACAGACATCCTCGTTGCATGAAGGCAGTTAAAAGGATTTACCTGACAGAGGCTGTAAACATGTGGCCATGTGAGAGCACTTCGAGAGGAAGACCGAAAGCTACCTACCCTCCGCCGTTACAGGTCATTTATGGGGAGAAAGATCAGACTAATATAATATTCAGTGTAGAAAGAATATCTTAGTGATTGAATATGGAGTGCAATCAAAAATCGATAGGTATCCTTCTCATGTTAACTCCAACTGTATATACAAATTTACATGTATCTGCGGGAGCAGTTACATTGGAAGAACAGAAAGAAGAGCATATCTACGATTTTCTGAACATGTACCAAAAAGCTTACGTCTAAAGGGAACAAATGCTTTAAGCAGTGCCATCGCCAGGCATCTTCTTGACACGGGTCATGAGGTGGACGTGGAAAAGTCGTTCAAAATTGTCAATAAGCAAAAGAGTTCAATGCTCCTTAAGTTTGCTGAAGCCATTTCCATCAAGCGCCTAAAACCTGATTTGTGCGTTCAGAAAGAAGCAGTTATCAGTCTTTCTTTGCCCTGGTAACTGGATATTTTTCATCCTAATGCGAGATACTGAAAAGTTTTCATTTTGTATGATTATTATTGCTCGGAATTGTGTTCAATATTGCATATATATATATATATATATATATATATATATATATATATATATAGAGAGAGAGAGAGAGAGAGAGAGAGAGAGAGAGAATTAGTGTATGCGTATATTGATCGGTTGATTCTTGTTTAAAATGAACTCTGTGCAAGTATGTTAAAATTGTTTTTGTAGATACATTTAATAATGTTTTTGCCCTGTAAGCAGCTGAAGAGAAGGCGACGAAATAAAATATGGTACCATTTTATTCTGCTAAAACTGTAGTTGTTGCTTTGTTCAAATTCATTAAGGGGAACAAATGTATGAAAAGACTTTCAATAGGTCATTTCACAGGTTTCGATATGAATAGCAGGAAGGTGGGGTGAGAGACAATCTTCAACGCCAGTCGAATGGAGCATTGTAGATCGTCATTGTTCAAGAGGATAACGTTTCGATCAATGCTTTCCCTGTAAAGGTTTGAGCTGTCAAATGAAAGAATTTGTGCAAAAGATGCTCGTTAAAAACAGACAAGGTGGCCAGGTTTCAATTGCTGGCCACCGAAGCACTCTTAAACCTCGCCTTATTCGCTAACCTGTAGTAACTGCAAAAAAAGAAGAGGGTAGGCGTTTGGTGTGCGGCTAGCACCTTAACTTGTTAAGAAATAGCACCACCACTACTGAGATCTCAAAATTTCTATTTCTATCTTCCAAGCAGAACGCAAAGGAATGAAAGAAGAAGAATGTGGCAGTGCAATAGCAATCGAAATCACTTACCTCAACGAAAGCATAATAGCTGAGTAGTGACCAATCAGTATTCGGTTGAGAATGAAGCACTATAAAGAAGAAAATTCAGAAAACAACAAACAACATAAATGTGAAGAAGTTCAACCTACTCTCACATAAACTTTTAACTATTAACAGTGTTCGTCTCTTTTGCTTACATCATCAGGTCATTTCACTCCGAGAGGAACATATGGCTTCAAGCTTTGTAATTTCAATAGATGTGATGCTATTCTATTTTTTCGATAAAGCGGGGTTGTTAGCCTCACGTCCAACTGTCTGTCTTTACCGGACTTACTAGAGGCTAAGAGAGGTTTAGGAGAGCGTCGGCCGGGGTTCGAATCCCAGACCACCTGTGTGGTCTGTAGTAGCAGTGTGTAACGGCAAAATACAAGAAAATTTGGTAACGGAATTATTTATTGGCAATTCGATGCAGAGATATAGGCAAATGATGTCTACCATATAGTAGAATCACAATACGCACATGTCTTCAGTATTGTGTTTCTTTATCTTCCTTTTGTTTTCCATGTTGCATCTCAAGCATAGTTTATTGTAACTTTTGGCCATTAAATCCACCTATCCGCTATTTTATAGGCAACTCTAAAGAATAGGAGCCCAAACAGAAACGACCTACGAACGCACAAACGACCTTGTCAAGGACAACTTCGACCAATCAGAAGGCTCAAAAAACTGCGCATAATTGTAAAACATCCTTTATATAAAAGTAATGCAATGTTAAAAAATAGTTACAATGGATAACGTTCTCGTATATGTTGCGAAAAAAAACCAGAATTTCTAATAGGTGTCTTCATACTGATATTAAACCAAGTTCTATACATAAACTCATCAAGATAAATGTATATCATTGGATTTCTAGATCCATTCATCAATCGAATCCGTTTTTTTAGGTGACGCCAGAAACTTTCGATTGGATTAGTACGAGTTCCATCCAAAGGATTGCGAAAACCATTTGTGTGGTTGACTACATGGTGAATATACCCGAGATTTGACAATTGACCGTAACTGCTCCATTCGTCTGTGTGAATAGTGGTCCCAGGTAACACTAAGCGCTGGATAATAGGCAATAATACACCTGCACTGCGATTAGGAACCGCCTCAATATATCCTTTTCGGAGAGTGGTGTCACAGATATCCCATAATTACTTCTAGAAACAACGGAGTCACCTGATTGGTTTCTCAAGGTCGTTTGTGCGTTCGTAGGTCGTTTCGGTTTGGGCTCCTATTCTTTAAAGTTACCGTTTTATATTCTAGCAGATAGCATACATATAAATCTTTTAAATAGCCCAGTGTAGTAGTACAACCTGATGAATTAAAATGCACCAGTACATGAAGCAGTGCGTCGGTGGCTCAGAGGTAGAATGCTCGCCAGCCACTCACGCGACCGAGGGTTCGATCCCCGGCCAATGAACTTCCAGACCTCACTTAGTAGGTAATAACCCCGGCAAAGAGGGAAGGTCGGGAGTAAGAATAGCGACTCCACCTCGTATAAATAAAATCACTGCTACCGAAAATTCGAAGCTCTAGCTTGAAGCCGTATATGTTGCACTGGGAAGGCAAAGGAATAAAAAAGTATTTGTAGCTGATTGTGTGTACTACTATTCTTGCATCATGCCATAACCTACTGATTAATTGATATAAGTAGTCAGATACTATCCATACCAAGCAGCAGTTGATGATAGATGGTTGTAGACAATCGGCAGGAACCCTTGGATGTAGGCTTCATGCTGGTTTTCACTCGTCAGCAAGACGTGTCTGCAAACTGGGAGGAAATCATGCCCCTTCTAAAATTCGAACCCGTGTCACCCAGTGCTGAGCTATTCAGGTTGGCGACTGACCTCCTGTAGGACTGACTGTATTAGATACTATGATTGGACACCAGTTATTAAATAGTGGAATGCACTTGGTCCTTTGTTTGGTGCAGACTGAATTCTATCAGTCAAGTTTGCAATATTAAGAGAAAGCGCATTGCCGTAGAGTACAGTTGAATCTTATTAGGTACTAGGATATCGCACCCATTCTACAATTAGCGTAATTCATCGACAGTTAAGTGAGTTGTGTGCATGTCCTGTCGAAATTTTGTTATTTACTAACTCTCCACGGCTGATCCAACCTCCCGAATAAGCGAAATGATTCCAAATACTACACTGAATTATCTTAACAAACGTACTCATGATACTGACCATTTCTAATGTAACAATTTAGCCTTATGATGCGTAAAACACATTCTTAGCATCACAACATCTTCAGTTGAAGCGTCGTCCAGGAGACTATGCAGCTTGTCACTGTTTCCAGTGTAATAAGGCTATAATCTCCTATATATCCTAAGCTAATTAAGCAGGCAGGACTGATCACGAGCTGACATCATGTAGCGAACCATTTGAACAACCGTTTCGTCCTAGTCTGCGAATCTTCAGCGGTACTCCCCCACCAGGTCACTCACCTGTGACATCGGCTGCAGTTTATGCTAAATATAGTGTCAAGAAATGGCAGAAGTTGGAATTCATGGACCACTGGGTCAGATCCCGGTGGCCCGCCTCGTAACTAGATGGTCCTGGGTTTGAACCCTAGCCGGTGTATACTGATGAGGAGTCCCAAACTAGGACGAAACAGTCACTGAGTGCTCACTGGTTCCTCAATGGTCCCCTGCAAACCAACACCTGATAATTAAAGAAGTTTCTGTGAAGTAGGTTCACTCGTATACAGTTAGGTTATGATTGATATACAGACTTCCACAAGCGTACCTAAAATAAATTTGAGACAGCGAAAATCCTTTACGGACAGACTCAATGTAGATGCAAATAACCTACAACACAGTTTATTGTGCGAGAGAGAAAAGCGTCACTACAGAGTACAACGCAGAACAAAAATGGTGTAATAAAATAAATTAACACCTTAATGATGATGACAGTTGACTTACATTCAAAACAGTATTCAATAGCTCGACCGAATGTTGCACGAAGCAATGCTAATCGATGCTCTGTAAAAGAAAGTAAAGGAGAAAAAAATCAAATACTCCATGAATAATTTAGTTTTAATAGGCTTCATAATCTAATAAACTTGGCGGGTCACAAAGAATATTTCCAACAGCCTGTTGCAGACCTTTATCAACAACTAACTGTCTTCGCTCTATACTCAAGATCAGATGGCCGGAAAGAACAAGAACCAACAAGAAACTATGGGAACAAATAAAACAAGAACCAATCGCCCAACAAATATGCAGGAGAAAGTGGAGATGGATTGGACACTCGCTGAGGAGGCCGCTGTGTGACATCGAGCGTCAGGCCAATGCTCGAGAGGAACCCGAAAGGAAAGCGGTGAGCGGGACGTCCAAGGGTGACATGGAGCGGATAGTGTGAAGAGGAGTTGAAACAGTATGGACTAACATGGATGCAGGTGAAAAGTACAGCAGAAGACAGAAGCAAGTGCAGACGTGTAGTTGAAGCCCTATGTTCCACTAGGAACACAAGGGAACAACAATAATAATAATCTAATGCAAGGTTGGCTTAATAGGTGATATACTGAGCAAAGTGTATTGGTTAAATTATGTCCAGTATTCCCCAATTGTTTCTCGATGATTCTCTAACTGATATCAGTCCAAGGTAAAAATTGAAACAAATCAAACCCTGGCAAACTAACTCTTAAAAACTAATCAGATGCTGGCTAGTGACTGGCTACACAGGAAGAAATTGCCTAAAGTTCTAATGAGAAGTCGTGACCAGTGGGGTCCATTCAGTCGGCTGTGAGGATACAAATACTCGCCAGCGATGAAATTGGCTGGTGCCAGTTGCGCTAAAATCACGATTTGGTAGAAGTTAGAATTCATGGGCTGGCCGTTGAGTCGGGTCTCAGTAGCTGAGTAATAGTCTGCGAGCTTGGCATGTAACTGGAAGGTCCTCGGTTTGAACCCTGATGGTAGGTGTGCGCTGCAGATGAGTCTCAAACCAGGACGAAACAGCTTTCCAGTGCTCAATGGTTTCTCAATGGTCCTCTGACCAATATCAGTCCGCAATCAAACTTGAAATAGATCATGAATGAACACAAATTAGATCATTGTCCTATGGTAAGTATCCACAAAAAGTAGAATAGACGAAAGTTGCTACGAAGTTCGCCCAGAATGATGTTTACCAGTCAACTTACACAATAGGGTCAGGTCAACACGGTAGGTGACTCGCCATCTCAGTATGATTCGTGAACTGATGTCAGGTATTTCGAGATAATCGATAGGCAATCCTGGATCTAGGTTTCATGCTAGCGCCCGTGAAATTAAAACACTCGCCACCCGGTGATGCAGTCAAGTACGTCAGCACTAACAGTCTTTAGAAACCCTACAATCTATAACAGACATTACAGAACAGCCTATAGAGCGATATTCAAATGTCAAGATTTCTAAATTCTTTTAATTGATGCGGAAATAACTAAATCCCTAAGGATAATCTTCTGACATGATCCGTATGCAAAGAATGGCTCATAAATAATAACTGAGAGAAATATTATTCCCAATTCGATTAGTCGACATCAGTTGAAAATCAGGCACTCAGAAAAGATTTCCCATGTGTACCAGGCTGCGCAAAATTGACAGTTATTGTTGTATTAGAGATGATAGCACTAATTTTCAGTTAATTAGACTGAAGTAGAGTAGGTGAACTTGGACTGGAACCCACAACGTCCATTGGCTAACAGTCGACTTCTCAAGCTACAACGCATAATTATACAGATTAATGTTGAAAACAGTGTCAAGAGAAAACACCCAAGTACCGATAACAACTAGTGAGCTACGATAACACTATTTAGTGAATACGCATATCACAAAATTTACAAGCGGTAAAAATGGAGTGAAGGAACGTTAATACTTCAAACACGATAAAATTGAAGTTTATATCAAAAGCACTAGTACATATTTTCATCATAGGGAGCTTCAAGATTTGAAGTTAAGGTATAGTTATGGTATCATCTTTTTTACGGGATGAGGTAAGCTAGTCTCACGCCCAACGTTTCCTTTTTTCTGTGCTTACTACGGGAGGTTTATCGGTCAGGAATCAAACCCAAACCTCCACAGTGGCAAGTGAGCAATCTGCCAATGAACCGCCTTCGCACCGATGCTTTAGGTATAAATGTTAATAAAATATTAACAAAGCCTTCGTATTCGCTATTTCCACGGGGGACCGGTGGGGTGGGTTGAGGTGGGGCGGGCGGAGCACCTTCAATTAACAAAAATTCAAAAGGACAGAACCATAACACTGGTCAATAGACAAGTTAAGCATATGCAACAGGGACCAAAACAATCAATAAAGAGGTATATTAAAAATGTGTAAGGCAGGAAATCAAATCATATCAATACTATAAGCAACAGTAATAATAATAAATTTATGTAAGGCAAAAATATAAACACAATCAGCGGTAAATTTCTGGATGGTGTTTGACTGTTATAAGGATAAAATTTGGGCACTGCAGTAGAGTATAACTATGCCAATATGGATAAAATTTTATTTTGATAAAATCACACAGCGTTGTTATACAGTAATATTTACTGATGACCACGTTTCGAGTACAAATTATTGCTGCTCATAATCATATCAAGAAACTACTCACACAACTTTTTACTTCATTTATATACATGAGTGAAATTGATTAGATATTTGATTAAAAACCACTATAGTATAGTGTACATTCAGAAATAATAATATGAGTGTTATCAATCAAATACAATAAGATGGGAAATAAGATATTTTATAGTAAAATAAATAACTTTTTCTAGTGTAATAATGTGAATTGAATACATTTTAACATTATTTATTATCCCCCTCTGATTTGACTGGTAATAATACCTTCTATATTTCTGGTATTTGTGCTGAGTTATTTCTATAGAGTGTGTTGGGTGTACACTCAATGAACCAGGATTGAGTAATCAATCTTTCTCTTTGTCTCTATTTACCTATATTACTCTGTAGAATTTTGACTCTGTCCCACCCGATTGTGTGTCAGTGCATGCAGTGTGATTGCTGAACTTTTTTTCCAAATTACTTATCATCGTAGGAACAATCATTCTAACCTTAGCTAAATTCTTATGTTCCGATAGGCAATCTGACTACTCCTGATCTACTAATTTGACTTATGTAGTTGACTTAACTCACAGTCATTGCAAGGTATTTTTTAAATTATATTATTTTGTTTAATTCGGTTCACCGCGTCCTTTAGTCTACAGAGCTTATTTCTTAGTGAGTTTGTAGGTTTGAATACCACTCTAATTCCTGCTTTATTAGGAATCCTACGTAGGGTCTCAGATGTCCCCTCCTTATATGGTAAAACTATCGTAGATGCCTTATATTCCCTCTCATTTATGTTATCATTATTAGTTTCACCATTAGTTTTATTTTCCTTTTGACCTTTTTTTGATCTACCTGATAAATTTTATAGGATAGGTATTTGACCGTATTCAACACACCACGACAGACGAACTAGCCATGAAAGTTCAAAAACTAACCCAAATACTTACAAGACTGAGAAGATATGAAAAACAAGTTAAACAAATAATTAAACTTACCTCTAGATAAAGAATTCTTTTCCAATGAACAAAGCCTGCGTACATGATGATCACAATAACTACGCCAAATTTTAAGCACATCATTCGGATCTGTAAAACCAGCGCTTAAAGCTGTTTCATAGATACCTAAACAGGAAATATTATTTTTTAAATTACTAATATAGACAGAAAATTCGAAAACTATATTTACACAAGTTAATCTTAGTCGAAAGAAGAGAAAACCAACTTACTATGCGAGTAGATTTACTCAACGTACTTGCATATTGATATTCTACGGGAGGTGAATCACTTGATAACAAGAAATGTACTTCTGTTAGTCCCAGTGTGTGAAATGTAGTCACTAGACTGTACCTAACGAACATAGTTTCTAAAATCCTAGGCTCAGTAATCATGCACAGACTAAGCAGAAATCGGGAGGAACAAACGAGGGAAAATCAAGCAGGCTTTAGGCCAGGTAGAGGGTGCATAGATCATATCTTCACTCTCCGACAGATCCTAGAACATAGACACACTTTTAGGCGTCCAACAATTGCCATATTTCTTGACTTAAAGGCGGCCTTCGACTCCGTGGATCGAAAGGTACCATGGCAATGTTTGACTGTGAAGGGAGTGCCAAGAAAGTACATTGCACTAATCAAGGCACTCTACTCAAACTCACGTAGCCATGTAAGGGTTTATGGGGAATTGTCATCTGAATTGATAACAACCAGTGGTGTCCGTCAGGGATGTTCACTTTCCCCCATTTTTGTTTAACTGCATCATAGACATGCTAATGGAAGTCTCCTTAACTGAACGTAACGACTTAGGAATCGACTTGTTACCAGGGAATAGTCTTATGGACTTAGAATATGCAGATGACATAGTCCTGTTAGGGGAGGATGCTGGCAAAATGCAGAGTCTTCTTGACACATTGAGTAGCAATCTTCGTATGTTTGCCATGCGATTCGCCCCTGTAAAATGTAAGATGCTGCTACAGAACTGGACTACGTCTACTCCTAGCTTAGTGATAGGGATTGAAGTGATAGAACATGTTGACCACTTCACCTATTTGGGAAGTTGTATCAGCACCAACGGACTGATTGGTGACGAAATCTCAGCACGGATCCAAAAAGCTCGAGCTGCTTTCGCTAACTTACGCCATCTCTGGCGTAGGCGTGACATCCGGCTATCAACCAAGGGACGTGTGTACTGCTCAGCAGTTCGCTCCATCCTTCTATATGGCTCTGAAACATGTCCAATACGAGTTGAAGACATGAAAAGGTTGACTGTTTTCCATCATAGATGTCTACGATCTCTTTCTCACGCTAGAAGGTGGTATAATAAGGTAGGTAATGTTGACGTTAGGCGTAGAGTATTGGGCAAAGAGGGAAAATCAATCGAAGAGGCTATAAACTTACATAGATTGAGATGGCTAGGTCACGTGCTGCACATGCCTAACCATCGCCTCTCCAGATGGACGGGCATTACTAGCTGATATAGGTGCAGGTTGGAAAAGAGTAAGTGGTGGCCAAACGAAAACATGGCCTCATCAATCCATGAAATCCTTGACAGTTAAACTGAGTCAGGTAGGGAGGGAGATGCAGACTTCCGGGTTGGGGCCCACCCTCGGGACTCTAAGAATCAATGCCTGGAGACAATAGGTGACATGGCTCAAAATCGTTGTCAATGGCTTACGCAGATGTATTCAGTCTCTGTAATCTTTCATATTCCTTTCTACCATTACTCATTCTGTTCCACTCTTATACTTGTCAAAACTCTATTGATTCTCTTCACTCATTTTCTTGTCTACCTTTATGTGCTATTTGGAACGTGGCAACTCGAACTGCTGCACTTCGGTTCCAAGTTTTATGTTGAATCCAGACAGACTGTATTTGCAGTTTATGAATATTAACAGTTTGTTTGATATATGTTTCAAGCTTGAAAGCCAGTAATACACTCAGTACTGAAATTAGTGACATTACCAGTAAACTATTCAGGTTACAGATATGAGATTACCGATAAGCGCTAACAAGAAAGGCATTTGAGTTACACAGAATTTACAATATGGATGCCCAAACCTTGTCACACGTAGAGGTGTTCAAATCGGTGACCCAATGTTTCTATGTCAAGCACCTAGATCAGTGAGGCACGACTACAGACATGATAATGAATCTCATCTGTTCATAAAAAATGAGGATAACATTGGTGCAAAACAAAATATGCAGTACCAGCCAGTGTTATTTAAAAAAAGATGACTGATCTCTTCATAGCTAGAAAACGTGATAAGATCTAAACTGGTAAGTCGTTAAATAATTTTGACTGATCAATCAATGTAATAATTTTCCATATTGGCAGCCAATGTAACCTTCAGTCACTAATGATCCAATGACTTAACAGAGGCACTTTATTGCCATAGAGAGTCATTTACCCAGATGCATTACATATATATAAGGAGTGAGGACAAAGGCTATCGTGAGATGTTTTCCAAGTGTAGTACGCATAGCAGTTATCTCTAGCGATTAGGATTCCTGGCTCTCACCCAGGCGGCCCGGATTCGACTCCCGGCGTAGGAGCGCTTTGTGAGTCCATGGCACAGCGGTAGAATGCTCGCCAACCACGCACTCCTTTACCTCGCTAAGCCAGTAATAAGACTGGTAAAGAGGGAAGGTTGAGCATGAGACTGGCAACCCCATCCTGTCAAAAAATAAATACGACTGCTACTGAAACTTCTACCTGCCTCAAGCTAGTCTATGTTCCACTGGGAACGTAAAGGAATAAAACAAAACTGTATAGCAAATATCAAAACAAATATTCTACCTGCGTAGAAAAGTTGATAGAACACCCTTACAACAGACGAAAGCATAATATCTGATATAATGATTACACAGCATTTCTCTAGGTTTATAATATAAAATCAACTCCTTGGGGAAATTCAAACTGTAACTAACTACCTCCGTTCTACCTACATAAATATACTGCGATGAATGCGCGGCGAGTTTGATTTGTGATAGCTTATATCCTCATCCTGTATGAGTGACTAGATTAACGAAATTCAGAATTGTTGGTTGGTGATATGATGTACGCAGTCCATTAGTTGTAAGCCAACAATTTAAGTCTGTAGGTATAATAGTAGTGAGACGAAACAAATAATGAATTCTTAGTAATAATATCCTATAATTCTTATTGGTTATCATAACCACGAATTTCGTTTAGAATTGTTAGTTGTAGACTCTCAAAGCATAGACAGGCTGCCTTTAGCAGATGGTTACACGTTCGTTTAATATTCCTATCCCCGTGAATTTATGGGTCACTCCTAGTAATCAGATGTTTTTGTGGTTTAGGGAGTTCAGAATCACTAAAACCGACGTCTAACCCCATTCAGTCATTCCAACAATCAGGTCAGGTGTGGGGACATTGGCTAGCGGTCGACCTATGTAGTAAATTGGCAGAAGTTAGAATTCACGGACTGCCATTGGATCGAGTCCCAGTGGCTTAATGGTCTACGAGCTCGCTAGCCTTCTAACTAGAAGGTCCAGGGTTTGAACATCCGGTGGTGGGTGCGTACCGATGAAGAGTCCGAAACTGGAACGAAACAGCTGTTCATTACTCCCAGACTTTCTAATGGTTCTCTAACCAATGTCAGCTCATGATGAAATCCTGTAATCACTCAAAGATAGTTGACTACAGTGTTCGACATGACTTATCAACAAATTTCTTCTTATTCAGCCTAGATATATTATCTAAGATTGTGGTTCCTTATTCATATTTCTGCACATGAATTGGTGGACTTCATCACTATCAGACAGTACTGCTAGCAATAGCCAGGCAAGTAACCTCAAGTTGAATTTTGTAGATACTAGCATTTGTCAGTAGAATGCATAAGAATTTTCACTAATTACTGCAAATTCTATCCCATTGATAACTGAGAACAATAGCAAGGAACACTTCTTACAGTCGTTTAATAACCACTTCTCAACTGATTTACTCATCCAACTTTTGTTTTAACCTTCATACCTATGGAAACCAACTTTTAAAGTCATTCTAGTGCCAGAGAGTCTTGCTCAAGTTGATTCTCGTGGCGTGGTTTTGTTCTGTGAGCTGTGCTGTCAATATCAGCACAAATTATAGCAAGGATAAGACGACTTCTGAAGACGTACTCTCAATGTCATGGTCATCTGAAGAAACAGTTGTGCCACTCATGGCCTACTTTGTAAGAAATTATTGCTCTGACTATCTCCCACTCAATCATGTATAGATCCTAATTGTGAGAATATTTAGTGGAGATGAAATATCATCAGAGTTGTTCTGTTAATAAGGAATAATTAGTAAACTTTAGAGGAGACACTCAGCAGGGTACATCATAGTTTTGATTGTAGTCAACACCCTTTTATAGTAGAAATTTTTTAAGATATCTACTTAACATTTGTAGTGATAAATAATTCATGGATAATCCTCATTCAGGCATTAATGAAAACAAAACACGTAGTTCAGCGAAGAGTCTCTTTTCGGCGAATTCATTTTCTTAGCTGTACAATTGCAAATATATATATATTATTTTATATGTACGATCACATCATCTCTGAGAAGAACATTCTTTGCAGCAACGCTAAGAATAGTGTTCTCCAGTCGCCCACTGATCTGTAGAAGCCTCAAGGACAAGATCCCGCATCTGACCACTTCTATGTGCATATATCAGTTCACCTGCTGCTGTGGAGCCAGTCAGGTACATCGGTCGTTCGACGCGCACCCTGTCCAAGAGGATTTAAGAACACTATCCAGCCAGCATGGTTGCGAAAAGGCAATAGTGGTGAAATGAGGAGTGCGATAATTGAACAACACCTGGTTAACAGTGATCATTCCATCTCAACAAACGCCTCCTACTTCAAAGTAATCTACAGAGTCAAGAATAATCTACCAAAGACAATACGGTTTCGTCTTCTTTGTATCACTGAAGCTCTGGCCATTCACATAGAAAAACCGGCGCTGTGCATACAAAAGAGGATTACTCAACCACTTCTACTGTCATGGTAACAACTTTGTTGATTTTTGATGACTTAATTTGGTTTGTTTGCCTGTTCTTTAATTGCTTATAATTCTTGTATTCATTTAGAACTCTTACGTAATTTCGCATTATGTACTTTGTTCCTATGTGTATCCTGACTGAGTACAACTCACTCATCAAACTATTCATACTATTACATAACTTCTTTTTAACAACTGTTCGTGACAACTCATCACCTTTGTTACTATCCTAATTTCATTAACACCTACTTTTCTTGACTCATTTTGTATTACGTAACTCCGATTACCAATTTTTACCTGTCTAGTTAAAATAACTATAAACAATTGTAATTTTGTTTGGCAAACTTAATGTACACATACATACAAAATAACACATATATATTTGCGATTGTACAGCTAAGAAAATGAATTCGCCGGCGAAAAGAGACTCTTCGCTGATCTACGTGTTCTGTTTTCATTAATACCTGGATGGGGATTATCCATGAAATGGAAACAACCACTTGAAAGTGAATCCAATACTCAACTAGTGACTGACTATGGGGTGATGAAGTTGTCTAAAGTTCTAATGAGAAATCCTGAGCAGTGGGGGGGGTGACCAAGTCGGGTGTGAGGACAAGGGTACTAGCCGATGACACCATCTGACGGACGTGTTATAAACCGTGAATTAGGGAGTTCCAGTGGCTAAATGATTAACGAGCTCATCTCCTAGCCCGAAAGTTGTAGGTTCGTTCCCCGTGCAGTCATAGTAACGGGCTGCTGAAGAGTTCTAGACCAGGATGAAAGAGCTCTCCAATACTCCCAGGTTCTCTCTCTCTCTAAGTGATTTCAATTCATGATATATATATATATATATATTCACAAGTTATGTAATTATTCTTACCATCAACCTCTTTAAAGATATTAGACTCTTGTGAAATAGATTCGTGTTCTGATCCATTGGTGTTGCCTTTCAATGAAATCCTGTCAAGGATTACAGCTTCAGTTACTAATGCATATCGTTGCCATAGATCAACACACCAAGGACAATTACGTACTGATCGAGCCAATAGCTTTTGTAAACGTTGAACATCATTTTCTAATTGTGACGCCTTGAAGTAAAGAAATCAAAGTAAGGTGATTACAAAAAATGGAAGAAGAGTGGAGTTAGTATCACAGTAATTAATGATAATAAAATGTTATTCAACAAGCCACAACCTGTGATTCCATGCAGTTGGCTATGAGCCACATATATTGTGTGAGAGCTGGCTAGCGATACTGCCTGGCAGACAAAAACTCGGCGGGTGAAGCACCGTTCAAACTCGTCACCACCCACTAGTTGGAAGTCAACGGCCTAGAGCAGTGATCCACAGCCCCACACTGTCAACAATAGCACACATAAACTGAAGTTAAGCGCGATATTATAAATAAGAAAATAACTGAGATTATAAGAATAGTAACTATCAACTGAAAAGTTTATCCCTAGAGATATCATCAGATTTTCAAATACAGATCAAGGAAGAAAGGGGTTACAAATAAAGTTCCGACTTCAGAACCAGAAGGAGAACACGTAATGAACTTAGCGCTGTATATTGACAATGTAAGGGCAGAAGGAGACATTATAAGGGTGGAAGACGAAAGACTTAGTAGGGGGCATGTTTAATTGGAATTTACTATCTCTATATAGCGAAAGTATGTACTTTTTATCTTCATAGCATCATTTGCACAGATCTTCCGCTTTGTGCTACTTCTGTCCTTCATATTATGTTTCTTTGTATTCCTTTATCCTCTCCCATGTTTTTCCGCAACGCTGTATCATTTGCTTTCTCTGGCATCAAATTTATCTCATTGCAATTTGATGTTTTCATGTCAATAAACATCTCTTCACATATATACTACTGATAAATCTTATCAGTAGCACCACTACAATAATACGATTCAGCGTTTCCCATAAGACATTGGACTCTAATGTAAAATTTTTATGGATGCATTCTATCCAGTTTGACCATTTTTATTTCATTTCCTTTACATTCCGAGTGGAACATACAGCTTCAAGCTTTGAAGATTCAGCAGCAGTGGTGTTCTTTCTTAAAGAGTGGGACTGCTAGCCTCAAACTCAATTTTCCTTTCTTTCTAGGCAAACTGTCGGCTAGTAAAACGTTAGATGAGATAAGGAGTGCGACAGCCATGAATCAGACCCCGGACCATTTGCGTTGTTGACGCGCATTCTATGTTAGAGCCACTGATGCACAAACCACTGGTTTCTGAGAGGAACATTCGCGTAATTAGTCAGAAAATACTTTTTTCATACCGTCGACCAATAATTTATCGGTCATGTGAAATAACCAAATAATTAGCTGTAGTTTCTAGATAAATTCACTTTTTTGACGGGGCAGCGCGATCAGACGTATACTGTCTTGTGTGTGTGTGTGTGTGTGTGTGTGTGTGTGTTAGAAGTAACATTAAGAACAAAGCCATATTTAGTATTATCGTCCCCTTTATAACATACCTAACTTTGAAGAAAGGAGACTGACGGACAATGATTAATGTCTATAAGGTGTTCAATCATCTACACTTCACACAGACACTGCTGATACCTCAACACAACCACATAAGATCGTGGTCTTTAACTCTGAAGAACAGAATAAAGGGACCTATAGGAGCCCTATTATCATACTATGATGGACTCCATAAACATGTGGTTTACACATTCGACTTTCAACTCTTAGGTTTCGGGTTCGAATCCCACCTCACCTACTTTAAGTCTGAGTATCATCAGCCTTTATACACACACACACAATGTGTGGCTCAAAGCCTATTAAATAAAAAATTTGTTCCAGGCAACGGAGTCCCAAGTCCTAAGTTCCGTAAATGTAAGTTCTGTACTGAAAGGGATAGATATATGAGTGGGAGATATGCTACAGCTGCATTTATCTGCATCTCCGTGAATAATAATGCTCAACGAACCTTTATGTTAACAATAACGTATAAATTCAACCCAGTTGGACTACCAAACCGGAAGATAAAAGTGACATTTCATATAAAAACACAATACAATAACACTTACCACATAATCTGCATAACGTATCCATATAGACGTGTCCAAACAATGTGCTGTAATAGCACGTTCAAAGAGACAGCATACAGTATTTGGTGAAATGATAAAATTTGCTGAAGCATTCTTCTCATTGTTATTAACAGCATCTTCAGAGGATTTTGTAGACATTTTAGGCTTTTTACGTTTTGCACAATGTACTGCCCAATCAAGATACATATTCCAGCTGGCAATAGATTCGGTGTCGGAGAGTTCAGCCGCTTCCTAGATATTCATGCAAAATATTCACATATGTATAATTGTTTAAGGAATTACTCGCATAAATAGAAAACTTTATAAAAACATATAATGTTCACATATTTTGATGTTTTGTTTTCAAGTTTGATCACGGATTGACAACAGTTAGAGAACCAGTGGAAACCAGTGAGTATTTGATAGACAGCGGGTTTTTGTCCAAGTTTCGGACCGATTCTTCATCAGTACGCACTTTTGACCTCACACTGGAAGGAAACGAACTCCCAGAACATTCCCTTTACAAAGGAAGCTTGCTGACCATTCCAGACACTGGAACGGAATCCGGTGGCTGGCCCATGAATGTCACTTCTGTCAATTTGTGATTTATAGCGCAACGGATGCCAACTTCAGGAAAACAACACTGAAAACACCCACCTGACTACACACCTATTTCACTGTCCACACACAGAATGTCTTTGTATCGTTAGAAATCTTTCTCCAGGGATATTGCATTCGCATCCTGTCATATTTTTTTAATCCTTTCACAAGTAATGACTTCTATGACTGTGTAACAACAGAAGACAAGGACCAGACAACAGATCATTTATTAAGGAAATCAAAGCCTATTTATGTATTTTCATGTACATTATTATAGATTAGTTAAGTAAACAAACACAGTCTTCTGATTGGTTGTTCCTCACTTAAAGTTAATCTTTCATCTCTTGTGACTGTTTCTTGAATGTCAGATCATCTATATGTTAACTGTATCCACCTACGCAAAGTCTGCTGTGGTCGGTTTTGAATCAGTCTTTGTTCATATTTCCTCACGACCAATATTGAGGACGTAAACATTGACGTAAATTACTGTCTACCAATTTGGCTAGTAGACAGCTCTCACCACAACTGCACCACAGGGTAACGCGGGTTCGAATCTCTGAGGGGACATCAGTCCCCTAGAAGTTGCAGATACGCTTTGTTAATATGTACCAGCAAGCAAAAAACCTAGGTCCACAGTTTTCTGTTGGTTACCTCCAGCCACCTAAGATTAATTCAAAGTACACAGCGTCGATGGCCAGTCTCACCCAGCTCAGTGATCGTACTGCAAACTTGACTGATAGAATTCAGTCAGTGACAATATTAAGAACACAGACATGACTCTGTGGTTACACCCCCAGAAGTGACCAATCATACATAAAACGTGCAAATCTCTAGTCCCAAAAGTGTCGATACTCCTTTAATTCACTAACAATGTGAACACAATATGAGTATATACCATATTATTACAAGTGAAATATAGGGCTTTTGCAGTACATCTCCACAGTATTCCCTTCTCTGCAGTCTTTTTTTAGTTGGTTCAACGAATACCTACAAGTTTCCATTTCCTCTTCGTATAATCTCCATATCGTCCGACTTGGCATTTCTCACTAGGGTTCCACTAGACGGCCTGATGTACGATGTCACTCAACGGTCCCATTCATTCACACTTTCCTCTGTGTATTTTTTGGTTATTCTGTATACTTCGTAGGTCCATTGCCTACCAGAGTTTCTTGTTATTTATCCTTCCCGGTTATTTCATACTGAGTGTCAGTTGAAGATGTCTGTTGGTGGAAGCCTGTAGCTGTCTGTCAGAAATGGTTTTGGTGACGTGCCAAATCTCTGAAGCACTGACTTGACATTACGGTGAGAAATTCGCATCATTTTTCCTTGTGCCCTGTAGACCTCTATACTGGATTCAGAGTAATAACCTCTACAGATCTCACTTTCCCGATCCCAGCTTCAATTAAACACTAGCCATACTTAAAAGCGTAGTTTTTTAAAGGAATATTTTGTACCAACACTTCTCACTGACTGGATTCAACAGAGAACTTTGCACAGATGTGCAGTAGTTCGAGGTGCTACACTCCAAGTAGTACACAAAACAAGAGAAGAGAGTAAAGAGAGATTCAAAAGTGAGAGAGATAATAAACAGAAGTGTGAGGGAAAAAGAATAGTAATTAGGAAGAACAGTTTAGTTTTATTAGATACATGTGACAAGGAGTGGATGCATCTGAACCATTGAGAACGATTTTGAGCCATATCACCAACTGTCTTCAGCCTACATTCGTTTTCACCATCCCGAGGACTCTAACAAGTCAGGAAGTCTATACTTCGCTACGTGGCTGGCTTAAACTAACTGTTGTGGATTTCATTGACTGATGAAGCCGTGTTTTGGTTTGACCACCACTAAAACTTTCTCTTTTCCAACCTGATTCATCCTATGTCAACTAACATTGCCCATTAAGGAAGGCAATGGTTAGGCATGCGTAACATAACTCCCAACCATATCCAACAATACGAACTAACTTAATTAATTTAGAATGTCATATACAAAATACGTCACTTCAACTCGCCATATTTTGGAAAAGCACCACGTTAATTAGAGAAAAGAATGCGGTGAAACTACAATGGACGAAAACAGACAGAAAGCAAAAGGATAATTAAATGTAGACTATAGAAGATTTTCAAAATCTAATTAATATCAAGAAGTGAAGAAGAACATTTGCGCCATTATGTGAACGATTTTGTAACCATTTATCACCAACAATCTCAGTTATAAACATATCGAAATGATCAGGTGTTGCTGTGCAGGGATTTGATTGGTTACAGAATTGGTTACCAGCTGACATCCGATTAGAAAACCTAAGAGTAGTGGACAGTTATTTCGTCTTAGTCCCGGATTCTCCAGCAGGACGCACCCACTGGGTTTCGAATTCAGGACCTTCCGATTACGAGGCGAGCTCGTAGACCATTCAACATATAAAGCATTTGGTTACAATGATTACCTGGTATATGTTCTGTGTATAGAAAATGCGGAGAGCATGGAGAATACTGCACAAATTTTCTATAGCTTGGTTTGTAAGGGTTACTTATGTTTTTACGAGTTGGCCACGGATTGATATCAGTTAGAGAACCATTGAAAAACAGGGAGTACTGGACAGCTGCTGTTTCATCCTAGTTTGGGAATCATCGGCAGCACGCAGCCACTTCCAGGGGTCGAACCCAGGACCTTCCGGTTACAAGGCACGCTCGTATACTATTCAGCCACTGGGACCCGATTCAATGGCTCAGGAATTCTAACTTCTACCGATTCGTGATTTAGCGCGACCCCAACCATTGTCGTTGGTGGGACATCCATCTACACACGTGACATCTAATTGGACCTCACTGATCACGACTTCTCACTAGAACTCCAGGAAACTCCATCCTGTAGCAAGTCACTAGCGAGCATCAGATTAATTTTCTATAGTTTGGTTTGTAAGGGTTAGTTATGTTCGGGTCCCAGTGGCTGAATGGTATACGAGCTTGCCTTGTAACCGGAAGGTCCTGGGTCCGAATCCCAGTGGGTGCGTACTGCCGATGATTCCCAAACTAGGATGAAACAGCAGCTGTCCAGTACTCCCTGGTTTTCAATGGTTCTCTAACTGATATCAATCCGTGATCAACACGTAAAATACTACACAAAGACAAAAGTAGCCACAGCACTCGTGTAAAAAGCCAAACTGTATTCTTAACTTTAAAACTGTGAATAGCCTAAATCCCTTAACCTTATGTCTAATGCATTTCTAATATCCTACACAGCAAAAAAACAAAGTCATTATAAAATACATGCACCTGAATTAAACTTTATAAAGAATAGAAAGCATTTACGAGAAGACTGCATAAATAACTCACCTCTAATGCTTCTTCATATGGTAATAGAATACTTAAATCCTCTAGAGCTTTTTCATACTCTAATTTCACTTCTTCTGGTAGGAAAGAATCTGAATTTTCTCTTGGTTGATATAGATCCACACCAATTTCAGATAGAAAAGCCTGATACTCAAGTAGGGTTTGTTCCATATCTATAATTCAGGATAAAGAATTTACCAAGAGAAAAAGGGTACGGTGAATACACTGCTGACAAACAATAGTAAAACTGTACATTTAGGTGTATCCATCTCGAGATTTCAATGGTTGAGTGCACTGGTCAGCTAGGTGGAAAGTGTGGGTTTCATTCGTGGCAGACACAGGCATTTGGAAACCTTGCCTAGTCGGCAGTAAGCTAGGGGGAGAGAGGGAGTCAGGCACAAGACTAGTAGCAATCGTCCCCCCCTCACCTCCCGTGAAAATACAACAACTGCTAGTGAAACTTTAAAAAGCTTGGAGAGCTATGCTCTATTTGGAAAGCAATGGAATGGAGAGAACCAAGCTGACGATCGTGGAAATGAAAAATGATTTGAAACCACATACTACTGATTGATTGCGATGAGTAGTAGCATACATACCACTCACACCAACCAGTAATGCTTGCTTGCTTCCTTGCTAGCTAGCTAGCCAAATCAATAGAGTGATTAAAACACCGGACGGTCGTTTCAATTCTCGTCTGGGGCCGATCTGATGATCAGAGGCGGTGTGTACCCAGTTTGACTCTCAGTTCAGTCAGAGAGTCGAGTCAATCCAAACAGCCCCGATGTCTACGATCTCTTTATCACGTTAGGTGGTATAATAAGGTAAGTAATGTTGACGTTAGGCGTAGAGTGTTGGGCAAAGAGGGAAAATCACTCGAAGAGGCTATAAACTTACATAGATTGAGATGGCTATGTCACGTGCTGCGCATGCCTAACCATCGCCTCCTCCGACGGACGGGCATTACTAGCTGATATAGGTGCAGGTTGGAAAAGAGTAAGTGGTGGCCAAACAAAAACATGGCCTCATCAATCCATGAAATCCCTGACAGTTAAACTGAGTCAGGTAGGGAGGGAGATGCAGACTTCCGGGTTGGGGCCCGCCATCGGGACTCTAAGAATCAATGGCTGGAGACAGACAATAGGTGACATGGCTCAAAATCGTTGTCAATGGCTTACGCAGATGTATTCAGTCTCTGTAATCTTTCACATTCCTTTCTACCATTACTCATTCTGTTTCACTCTTATACTCGTCAAAACTCTATTGATTCTCTTCACTCATTTTCTTGTCTACCTTTGTGTGCTATTTGGAACGTGGCAACTCGAACTGCTGCACGTCGGTGCCAAGTTCTATGTTGAATCCAGCCAGCCAGCCACCCCCGATTTTTGGCTAACTCTACTTCGACGAACTGGTAACACCCTAAATCAAATTCGTAAATTTACACAGTCCCGGGAGGTGACACATTTTACCACACAGTTTCCTTTGGGAACTGAAATTATTCACATCAAGCATATCACCACCTTGTGTGATCTGAAAAATTTCATTACCCAAAATGAAACCGTGGTGAAATTTCTCCCCCCCCCCCCGCTCCTTGAACTGTGTAAATTGCGCGTATTTGACTTTTTTTTAAAGTGACTTGCTTACTTACTTAAAAGAGGGACAGCAAGTTGACGACGGAAAAGACGATCCATTTTTTTCACTTGTTCTGATTTTAACTCCTATAAAAATTAAAGAAGACAGAACACGAAATGAATTATGAATGAATAACCAACTGAAACTGCACAGCATACAGTAGAAAAACAAGCATCTATCTTCATCTTAATTCATTACAGTCATTACAGAAGTCTTTACATGAATGCATAGAACCTAGAGACAACAGAGAACGCCAAGTGAAGCGATAGGGAGTACTGCATCGATCTACTAAGAATCTATATGAAGTGCACCAGATTAAAGTCATCCGAAGTGATGACAATTAGTGTCTGCTGTCACTATTCCGTTTTAATATTTCAAGAATTGACTAGCTATTAAGGAATAAGTTCAAGGAAAGTCACTGATAGTCTTCTATATCCATTGAGCGAAGTTGATTCGCATATACCAGTTTACGCCGTCTCTCGCGTAGACGAGATATCCGACTATCGACCAAAGGGCGTGTGTACTGCTCATCAGTCCGCTCCGTCCTCCTTTATGGCTGTGAGACCTGGCCATTGAGAGTGGAAGACATGAGAAAGCCGACTAGCTGTCTTTGATCATAAGTGCCTGCGTTCTATCTCCCGTGTGAAGTGGCATAATAAGGTGAGCGATATTGAGGTTAAGCGCCGAGTACTAGGTAAGGAGGGGAAATCAATCGATGAAACTGTGAAATTACATCGACTGAGATGGTTAGGACATGTGTTAATCATGCCTAGTCATCGCCTCCCTCGACGGGCAATGTTAGCTGATATAGGGCCAGGCTGGAAAAGAGCTAGCGGTGGTCAAAACAAAACATGGCACCAGTCAATGAAATCTACAACAGTTAGTCCAAGCCAAGTAGGAAGGTGTAGACTTCCTGACTGGTTGGGTTCCTCGGGACGGTAAAAACCAATGGTTGGAAACAATTGGTGACATGGCTCAAAATCGTTCTCAATAGCTGGCCCAGATGCATCCACTCCTTGTGACTTATGATTTCCAATGAAACTGTTTTGTTCTTCGTTATTACTACACATTTGTCTCACACCTCTGTTTACTGTCTTTATTATGCATTTCTCCTACCTTCTTCTCTTGCTTTGTGTGCTACAAGGAGGGAGTGTGGCGACTTGAACTGCCGCACATATGTGCAAAGTTCTATGTCGAAAACAGACAGACAGATTGAGCAAAGTTCTAGACACATTTGATAAGATAATATTAATAACAATGAAGTTATTGAATACTGGATTGACTTTAATAATAGATTATTTGATAGTCAAATGTTACTGGGGACCTCTATATCTCAAAGTAACAGCCAATGGCTTTATGGATTGTTGCCATCATGTGGTTCAACCTCTCTTAACTCTTCTCCAGAGAATACAAAGGGCATACATGCGGAGCGCAGTAGCTTGCCAGGTTATACTTTGTGGCTGTGAGATACATGTACACTGGGATTACAATATATGAAAATACTGCAGAGTTTTGGCCATAGTTGGTTTATCAAATGGATTTATTCACAGATGTAATGGTCTGTTACACATCAAACAAATATTTCTCTGGTTTAACCATGTACATAGGCTAAATATCTGGACATCAGTACATTTATTACCTAGAGCAACTGTGTAACGCCATTAAATCACTACACCTCACTTTAGTAAAGCTACGGAAAGTCGAGAAGGGAACAATGGAAAAAAAAGTAGAACTGGTCCAATAAAAAAGGGAGGCAAAGTGAGAATAAATAAGCACAGGATAACAAGATGTTCAAGTGAAAATAAGCTGTCAGTACACTTGAGTCATTTTGTATCTCAGTCATATTGTGGGCTTACAACATCAAGAATGTACATTATCTCAAGGTGCTCTTCGATGGTTCAACGATAGAAATTATGTCAGCCACGCTATAGGTAGGTGTGTGTTCAGTTCCCGGCCAACGAACGCACTCCAAAACCTCACTAATCGGTGATAATCCTAGAAATAACAGAAGGTTGAGCGTGAGAGCAGCAGCTCCATCTCGTGTAAAGAAACAATGCTGACCACTGAAACTCAAAAGCTTGCAGCCGTATATTGTACTCAGAGGGCGAAGGAGTAAGAAAACACTACCTTAAATGTATTTTATGCATCAAGACGTTATATTTATCCCGTGATGCCACAAACCACAAAGCCAATCGGTCATTATCAACAAAAATCCTAAGCATTAGTGAGTAACAATACAGGTTACCAAACCCTGTTTGCGCAACAAGTACAAGGCAGACAACAAAAAAAGCACAGTACAACCAAAAGTCGTACAACTTTATCAACAAAAAATATGTGACATTACACTTAAGATGAAGTGGTATGAATTAACCCGCGCCGCTACAATCGATCCTGGCTGATATCAGTTAACTAAAAGTTCCGGTGGTCTTGTAGACCAGTCAGTTAAGCATCATCCTCGAGTTACACTTTCCGACAATAAAGTCAAATGAGGGGAACTTTTTTTTACTGAAGTTTCCGAGTTTCTCTTCTTGAAGCTCTATTTTTATCACAAACCTTGAAAACTTTCCTCAAAGACTCATATTTCGGTCAGAAATGAATTCAACTAACTTTGTAATGCATGAAATTCACTAGACTTCACATAGCAATAATTACAATGACCACGTTGCACATGAGCGGCAAAAACCTCTTGAATTTTAGGAACTCTTTCAACCTACGGTGTGTCGGTGACTCAGCAGTAGGATACTAGCCAACCAAGCAAGTGATTCAGGGTTCAGTCTCAGTCCTGTCAACGCACTCCCAAACCTCGCTTAGTAAGTAGTAGGCCTGGTAAAGACGGAAGATTGGGTATGGGGCTAGCAATCCCATCAGATATAAAAACACCACTGCTGCTGAAAATTCAAAGCTCTAGCTTGAAGTCCTGTGTTCCACTCGGGACATACAACCTAACAACCTACCCCATGCCAAACCATCACCTTTCTCGTTGAGCAATGTTAGCTGGCATATAGTTGTTAGTCTGAAAAGGAGTTGGGAGTGGTGAAATCAAAACTGTTAGTTTGAGCCACATATGGGAATGTAGACTGCCTGTGGCTGATTATACAATAAAGTGCTACGTATGAGCAACAAATTCTCCACATGTTTAAGAAATCTCCTGAGATCAAAGACCCATATTGGTCAAGCTGATGAAACGCCTAAGAATGCAAATCATTCATTTTCTGACAAAACACATATTTACGCAAAGAGAAATTTTCGAGTGGATATACAACTATTTTTAAATAAAGAAAGAACAAAAACAATTTTCACCTGTTTATCTGACAATTGAGACCAAATAACTGTAAGGAATTCACGATAAATTTCCCATAGCATTGAACCTGCAGCAGTATTAAGTCCTTGATGCGACAAAGCTGACTCAAAGATAACTTCTGCATCACGTATACCATTTAGAGAAGTGAAGTCAAAATTAGAAATGACAAAGTGGCAATATTCTAACCAAATATTGACATCTAAAAAAAAATGTTAAGCGAAACAAATAAATTTATTAGTCTACAAGGTATTAAAACTGCTGTCTGTGAAATTACTCACCACACATTATAACACCGTAGTGTTTTATCACGAAACGATGCGGAGATGTGACTCATTGGTCTAAGCATTCTGGGTGAAGCGTTCGAATCCTGCTCCACCTATCGAGGCTAGGACAGCCAGATGGCATCACTAACCATAACACAATAGGTGTGGCTCATTTGCTAACTGCATGGCATTACAAGCGGTTGTTAAGTAACTTATATATATATATATATATATATCGCGAAACGGCAATAACTATTAAAAACCACTATAGGGTAGCGACGGAAGTTATACTTAGATGTGGAGAATTTAAAAGTGACAACAAAAAACACTTTACTACTGTAATTTGGTGGTTAGTGACTAACAGTGGAATCTAGGATGCGCATCCCGTCCGATTTGGGACTCGTTAGCTGGACGAACTTGCATTTCCCAGAGAGTTGATGGTGTTCCCACTGAGGCTCGAATCTAGCAACCATCGTTTCAAACACCGAACACTTCGGTCCCGTCAATCAATAAATTAAATAATAATTGACACCCATTGCAAAAGAGACAGCTTCTGTGGCCGAAGTGGTCTAGTAGATAACGCGCTTTAGCGTTTGATACGACAGGTAGTGCGTTCAAGACCAAGTAGAAACACCATCACTCACAGCGGAATGCAGGTTCACCCAGATGACGAGTTCCAAATAGGACGAAATGAATATCCTGGATTCCACTGCTAGTCGCCATCCACCAAATTGCCTCACGTTAAATCCTTAGACATCGTTGAAGCATCCGCACAAGGAGCCAACATGTCAACAGAGGCTGAATACCTCGATCCAATGAATCAACGGGAAAGTCCAATATGAATTAAGTTACTTTATCGCTGTGGCTAAAACATTAAGAGTTCACATGGTTTCAGTGATGAATGAGTTTTGGCCTCATTCACCAGTGTTCTTTATGTTCTAGACTATGTAGCCACAGTTACTGTTAGGGGTGATGATACTACACAGTTGAACAACCTGAAGTAATTGGAGGACTATCCGAATCCGAGACTTATTGCATGAAAGTGGTATAATACGCGAGCCAAAAGCATTCAGTAGCATGCATAGCAGCTAAAATAAATATTCCATACGACTGTACTAGAAAGAAATTAGCATGATGAAGTTAATTCCTACGGCCTCATTTGTACATGTTGTGAAAAATACCCTACGAATTACAGATGTGTAAGTTTATGAATAAGAAGAAAAGTTAAGCATTGCCTTAGTGACACTTATCAGTTGATGAGACTGTGAGGCTACAACTACTAAGGTAGCGAAAAAATGTACTACGCATGCCGAGTCACTATCTTCCTGATTAATCGGTGGTAGTTAAAGTAGTATTAGGTTGGAGAAGGTGTGGAAGTGGTCAGACCAACATACGACATCAAACCATAAAATCGCTGACCATTTTGTCTGAAATTTGGAATGACTGAAGTCCTAAAATGCTGAGAATAAGTGATTACAGACTGTATGTACCCTAGTGCAAAATCGCTTACGATAGTTCAAACAAATTCAACCCTTTTCATCTCTCGGATTTAAAAATTCTCTCCTAACTCTCACTTAATTATCTTCCCTCCTTTCTCTCCAGCAGATTTCTGTCAATTATGGTTTCATTATATTTCTTTTGTTTACTTTCATTTACGTTTCTTACAAGTGTACAAACTTGGACTGAAACACTGGTGTAAATTTCCATGTTATTGGATTAAAAACCAATCAGTCACTATTCTGCTGTAGTTTGGTATTGTCATAAGGAGAAGCTCAACATAAAAATGTAGTAAACCATGAGTATCTTTTTATTTACCAATACTATCACATTTATTCTAATTCTCAAAAATTTAGCTATTTCCAATTAAAAACTATCCCTATCTTTAGAAAACCCCTCCGTTTTATAATGGACATTTATAAAACTCGAGAAACTGGTATAGATAACGAACCCTAAGTGTAATTAGAGGGTATTGATTAGAAAGATTATTGTAACTAACATACTTCTCATTACATAAAAAGCCCAATTTTGGATTTAATACATCTCTACATTAAAATAAAACTAACCTTCGTAATCATCAATCGCTTTTTTGAAAAGAACTTCAACTTGACGCTTTTCTTCACGTGTAGCAGCAATACGTAGCTCATCTTCAATCCATTGTAACCAAAGAGCTGTAAGAAACAGGTGATAAACAGCGTGAAACATCAAATAAAAACAAGTGTTTGTGTTGGTTAAAATTCAGACTTGTAAAAGTAGAATTTGAGTACCGTGGCACTGTCTAAATATATATATAGTATTACATTAATTATACTCATGGTTTCCCCGTTCGAAAAGTGTGCCCCAGTCTAGTCTGCCCTGAACTGTTCGGTTGTTTATTCTTATGCTTCAAACATACAGGTCTACACGGACTGAAAAATCAATACAATGTATTCACACGTTAAAAATAAACACTTCATAAAGTGCCTCACACGAAAAAACTAATTAAATTCTTATAGAATTCCTGTTTGAGAGTTCTAGTAATATTATATTTAAGTGATACAGGTAGAGCATAAATCTTCCTCTCGCATTTTTTCTGAAAGCTGGATGACACTATAAAGGTATTTTGTCTTGTAATGTAAGCGAATCTATGCTTCCATGAAGCGACTTTATGAGTTGACGAGTTCAAACTAGGACTGGATCTTTAGTGATGTCGACAGATGAGACTGTGAATTTCTTTGAGACAACCCATTTCTTAACAGTAGATTTGCAACTCGAACTTTGTTTCACTATCTAGCTGTATGGCGAAATACTCTTATCCCTCAAAACATGCGGCTGAAGTGCTGATAAAAGCGTTTGTATATGACTTTTAAGGTAAGGTGGAAAGCTACTTTCTGAAAGGATTAGTATAACGTAGTTGGTCGAGTGTCTATATCACTGAATATTTTCCAGCAGGCGAAAACCAGGATAATGTCTAACGAGAATTACAAATGTTTTAATATGACATTTGAGTACTTCCATGCAAAATATAAGTGAAACATTTGAACAAATTATTTTGAGGTAAGAGCAAGAACTGTTGGTTATTGATACGTCAGCTTCCTTATGAGAAGTGGCGGGAATATCCAAACTTCTCATAATCATAATGAAAAGCTAGAGGTGATTGAATTTTCGTTTATCGTTTATCAAAGGCTGATTTGGGTATTTATCTTACCAACTTTTTTTCTACTTCCAGAATACCCCTGAGATGTCATTATAAAGATGTGCTAAAATAGCTGTCGAACAAAATACGGATGGAACTTAGATACCAACATAAAGTGATTAAAGAGTGGGACTCCTTATCCAACCATGTGGTATCAGCTCCATCTGTGAAAGATTTCAAAAAGAAACTGGATCTTTGCACAGACATATACTGCAAGAGTTAACACAGGCTACGAGAATCCACTGTTCCGCACCTACTGAAACTGAATGTTTGTAGAATTCTAATCCATAACACATAACTACATATTACTGGACTGTTGCTACATTCTTCGCTAAAACTTTCACTACATATAAAGTGGAAGTATATTTGACTTAGGGGATGGGTAAGAATCTGGCTTGCGATTCTTTGTATCACCTTTTAATGCACACCCTATGCTCCACCTACTGTATAGGTTAAGAATATTCCCAAAACTTTAGATATGTATGAGAAAAATTCCTGAAGATTATCATGAGGGGAAGGAAGTTATAGTTTAGACATTCAATAGGCATCAAGGTACTAATGTACTTGGATCGCGGTCATAGCAAGGCAGTAAAACCAAGTAAACAACACTGCATTCATAATACAACTGCTGAGTGAATTCTAACGATATTAAACAAGGTCACCTGTTAGTTTCAAGAAAGGTTAGGTTCATTCTAAAGGATTCAGTTAGGGGACTAAATTTACCTTTCAGTGGGATTTTATAATTTTGATTATAGCTTGATTTCACACCGTATTATCGGTACAAGTGTTGGTAGCTCCGCCTTCTCTTTGGCCATTTCTGTATACTCACCCGACTCAAACCGTGTTGTATACTTTGGATTTATTGCAGGAACCTATCATCCTTATCCGAAGACAAATCTACAACCGGAACACAGCTTCTATCAGTAGACACGATTCCAACAGTCGTTTCTGTGGATTATATAAATAATTTGTAGCAGTGGACTTTAACAACATATCCAAGTAACCTATTAATTAATATCACTCATTACTGCATTTTGATAACATATTGTTGCATTGTACTCTCACTGACTTGGATTTGTATTCGCATATTTGTTATGTTAATGAACTGGCTCTAGACAGTACTGTCCACAAGTATGGAATTTTCAGCATGTGATATCGGTAGCCCAAATTTAGCAGGCCGACCAATTGATATCAGGTGTGCGTCGGCTAGGGATCGAATCCCGGCGGGAGTCCTAACCGCTGTGCCACAGACGCAACCTCTTAACTGTTTGAAGCTTAAATGTGCCATATTTACTAACGTAGTCAGTGAATTGCGTTTGAGAAAATACTTTTTGGTGTAGTGTTATATGTGTGGAATCAAGCTGTATTCAAAATTTAAAAAATCGGTAATACTTATGATCATAAATATTACCAAACTGAAATTTGCAACTACCAATCATGCTGTGTTGCAACACAGCAAAACCACATAAATGGATATATCTGTGGAGCATTACCTGCGGAGAGTGGGTATATGTCATGCATACGTTCCCTTGCTGCTTTGGCTTGCTCATAATCTTCCGTTTTCCGTAAGAATTCAATTAGCTGAACGTGCGCATTGTAATCGAAAGGATTCTTTTCTAACTATTTCACTTTAGTGAAATACAAGTTATCTAACCTGCTGTTTTATTGAGTCAATTGTTTCCTTTAAAGCTTCTTTACTTTCATTTTGTGTTCCCATAGGCTCCTCACTTATGTCAACCATCTGCAACGAAGGTCAGTAAGTACTAAAAACGAATTGACTTCCAAGGTTGTCCAATATCCAATATCCATAGCCAAAGTTTTAATATTCATATTTTCGCCTGAGACAAAACAACTGTGCTCTGCGTCAACATTGTGTTTATTGTGTCTATCTTTCTCTTGAAGAAGTCGAATGTGGATACATTCACCACTCATTCAGGGAGTATTTTCCAGGATTTAGAGATTATATGAAACGAAGAAATAGTTTATTCTTGACTTTGAAACTGTCACCCTAATTTAGTTGGAAGGAAAAAAACGGGATAAGTGAATTCCATCTCCACTGATTACAATTATTAACTCCGTGACCAGATCTACTGTCTGTGGTATGATAGGGATCGCATATTCGGTGCATGTATTCGTTTCGCAACATGGTTTTCTTTCATGCACCCCACCAGAGGTGTGAAGATTGGCTAATATGATATACATCATCATAAAAGTCCCAATATCCAATATCGTTTATACGAGCTATTATGAATCAATTTGATTTCTTTGCGCTCGCCTCTTGATTGTGAGGTAGAGGTTCCTGATCTTCGGTAAACGTCTGCATAGCTCGTCCCGCCACTCGACTACCGTAGCTTTGGTTGACTCCAAAATGAGTAGTGCAGGGATTAATTATATGTGGTTTGTAGTATGATGTGTGTTAAGACTGTTACTACTGTGAATGGAGTTGATCCTTTCACCAGTTGGTCCTTCGGTATCGTCGTCAATAGAAAAGAGATAATAATAATAGATATAATTAGTGAAGGTATTCAGACTAACAGACAGAAAAAGAATAGGAAAACGCAACAACAGTCAGTCAACCGGTATATATATATACCAGTAATAATGATAATAAAAGGTGTAGTTAAAGCTGTCAGGAGAGTAAGATGGAAGAGAATGTAAAGAAGTAAAATGACCAGTCCCACGTATCTCTTGGTGCTAAAACTGTAAATGGATGTCAGCGTGCTATAGTCTTTAACCATGCTGTTTCGCCTAGATAAGTTATTGTGTTCTCTGATATTTCATTGTCTTTGACAATTTCAATGTACTGTTTGAATGTATTTAATTGCCCTCTTTGGTTTAACAATGTGTATGCATGTTGGTTTTTATGAACAGATCCTCTACAGAATGTTTTTGAGCTGGTGTGTGCTTAACTCAGTATGGATCGTGACTAAACAGCTGTACTTGATACAGCAAGTTGACAAATAGCATGGGTTAACATCCGCATGCTTTGGGCCTCAGTTATCGACATAAATAGTGAAAGTTGTCACTATTGTTGTTGTTGAATGATGATGAAGCCAGAAGGCAGCAGTTCTATGGAACTATTTACCGACTCAGTTCCACTATTAGCCAGTTCTTTGGATTGCACCCATTCATGACCACTTCAGCAGGTCAGTGAGTTCCGTTTGTTGTGTGAGCTTATGACCTTCCGGCTGAACCTCATCCAAACTTTTATGTTGCTGATTTATTGAATTACTGGGTATTCGGTCAGCCTAAATATGACATAGCCACACAGAAGAGACAATAGGAGGTCCGGTGCAGCACTGCATCGAACAGCCCTTTGTACCATTGTCTGGAAAAAATACTTAGAAGTCATCCTTGTTTTCCACCTCCCATCAGAAAACAACTCTCTCGTCCAAGTAACTAAGCTGCTTGTGTTTCCGAAATCTCCAGTTTCATGGAGGCACTGGTATGAGACAGTGACGAATTCTTCCCTGAAAAGCACGAAGAATATGTTAGTAGATTTCCTGTTTTATTCCTGTACGTGAAACTGCTTTCTCTTGCCATAGTAAGTTGTTGCAGACAGGGATGGCTTTCCTTGAGATGAATTATGTATGTTGGATAAGCCATTATGGCTTCCTTAATTATGCTTTCCACTCTTCTAATTAAAGCAGTGGTAAGACTAACAGGTATATAGTTTAATGGGTGTCACCTAGGCCCTTCATGGTGTATGAAGGCTGTTGCTCAATCATTCTAATCAAATGACTGATAGCCCTGCACAACTTTATTTCACGAAGTGCTTATGGTTCTGATAATCCCCTTAAATATTAACCCTATAAAAGTACTGTAATAGATTGGCTTCTGTCCATCTAACTGGTGCTAAAACAGACCACTGAGTGAAGTGGTAAGTCTCAGTTTGGGAATCGATGGTCTCATTTAGTCTCATTAAGGGGATTTTCATGGACATGATTACTGCAGCTTCGCCAGGACCGGGCTTGGGTCAGTCTGCGATGACAGTCACTGACAGGCCAAGCAACACACTGGAATACCTGGACCGCCAAATATCCTCAGATTGTTCTGCAGTTAGTTCTCAGATGCAGGAGGAACCCAAGTCTTTATGTGTATCGCATTGGTAAGGATTTTATTACAAGGGCTTCAAATAACACACCGTGAATGTTACATTTTTGAGGGTTGATAAGTAGAGGTTCTTAAGATCGGCTTATCTTCCCTTAGCAGTAATCATCAGGAATAAATTTGTGTCATCCTGAACATAAGTAGACAACGCAATCTCTGAGTCTCACCAGGTAGTGCAGTTTGACTCGTTCAGAAAAGCTAACAAGCTGAGATTTTGAAAGATACCGAGGAAAGTCCGTTTAAAATATTTCAAAAAACCTTTCCTGTTTTTGCGCAGGCTGTACTCGGAAGTAAGTCATTCGATCAGCTGATACCCACAACTTGTATCTATTGATGGAGCCTAAAAATATGACAAGTATTCTTTTTGCTACAGATTTGCGTACAATTTCTTCTTGCTAAATGTGAATGGGAAGAACTGATATAAGCAAAAATATCCAAAAGGTAATGTTCTTATCCACTATAACAAATTCTACTGATGCCTGGTTTTTTGAAAGTGCGTTGAGCTTAATTTTTTGGGACATTTACGACCTACACTTCCAAGTTAAAATATTGACTTACATAAATTCAAAAAATTAACGGATTTGTATTTCTTCATGTTTCAACTGATAAGCTTTTGTGTTGCTAGTAATAATGATATATTCGTCTTTTCCAACTTTGGTTTCTTTCATAGATAGTTGCTTATTTGGGAGAACTAACCGAGTAGGTAGCTGAGAGAGATTTTTCTACAGCGGCTCTGGATTTGAATTATTATTATTCCTTTGGGTTCCAAGTGGAATATAGGGCATCAGCAATACATCTCTATTTCGTTCTATCCTCTGCTGTTCTGTTCATCTGAGTCCATGACTGCTAGTAATCACCCATCCCCTCCCCCAACTCACATGATCTCTTCCATGTCGCTGTCGCACTGACGACCAACCTGTCGCTTCTCATTCAGATCCCACTGAAGTGATGGCCTGGAGCGCAATGTTATTTGATGGCCTCCTCAACGTACGCCCGATCCACTCCAATTTTCTCTCATGTATTTGTTAAGCAATCTCGTTTTGGTTGGTTTGTTCATTGCTAGAGTTTCTTGTTGCTAACTCTTTCTGGTCAGCCATTTGGTCTTCAGTGCGGAGCAAAGGCAGCTGTTTACAGAAGTCTGTAACCTGTTGGAAATCCTTTCTGTGTCGTGCAGTGCAAGTTTCTGACCGATATAGAAGAACTGACTTCACATTTGTGCTGAAAATCCAAACCTTGTTTTCTATGCTGATCGGAGATTTCGGAACTGGTTTCAAGTTGACGAAGGCATATCTTGCCAAATATCTCCCTTTGATGGTGACTGGTGCTGGCAATTGTGCTATTTGTTAGCTGGTTATCTTCATCCCCTCCGTCTTCTCTATGTTCACTTGGAATCCTGTCTTCGCTACTCTCTGAGCCAATTTTTTGGTTTTCGCCTGTAAACCTTCGAGTTTGTGTGACATTTGTATTTATATTTTATGTTTAACCACTGATAAACGTATTGCATATTGCTTGCTCGGATATCCCACTTGATGAAACAGAGTGTTAACCTTAGCTAAAACTTATAGTGACAGAGTTTACTACACTCAGTTATTTTTTACAGTGAGTCGCGTGTTTAGAAGAAGCATTCGCTTCCACTTATAATAATAATAATGCTATAGTGATAAATCTGTTTGCAGCAATTATTGTCCGCAGCAAGATTTCGAAAGGATGATATATAACGAGGAAAAGTAGGCCAAAAATCAGTTGTATTATGGGGTTGAAACAGGTGTTTAGGTAAAGCAGGATTATCATTTCGATAATTGCAGCCTTGAAAAAGTGTTAAAGTTATTAACATCATTCGCATTTCTCCGCTGGTCCAATAAGGCCTACTGTGAATTCACAATCGCGACCCATTGTTTTCAAATGCATGTGTTAGAATGTATAAGTCACAGGTATACTGAGTACGTATACATACGAAATATCTCTTATATACGCTAACATACCATGAGAAGGAAACCCTGTCTTTACACTTAGACTCATGACGCAGTGCAGATACTTAAATTATTTCAGCTTAAGGCCGAATCCCTACACTTCTTGTCTGTAGAACATTGTGGGTCACTATCTAATTGTGTAAGCATTTTAGCAAATTTTTCGCAAATAAGGGGCCCACAAGAATGATTAGTAGTCACAGAAACATTTATCTACGTCATATAAACACTACGTGATTATAAACACAAAGAAAGACATCAAGGGATTACAGATATACAAAATGAAATAAGCATACCGGTTCATCCTTTCGCTGGTGACGATGCAGATGACTGATCATCCGACTCCCTACGTGCTTCACACAATTCAGAGTATATTTAAGGGAACCAATTCTACATGTCCTCGGATGCATCTTTTTAAGATTCACCAATCATGTAATATTTTCTGCATTGGCATTTGCAAGTTCATGTCTCCAGAGGCCACCGGCTGTGATCTAATGACAATGAAGTTAGAGTCCCTTAACCACCTGGTGACAGGTCTAAATACATCTTAGAAAAATTTGTTTGACATTCATATTAATTCACGTAGTGTGAGATATGTGTGAAGGATGGTATGAACTAAATGTCTTCATGGTAGTAGGATATCTGTGCTTTGGAAACAGCAGTA